CATAGGTGTAGAACAATTTTGACAAATTTGAGATTACAAGCATTATAATAAATCAAACTAATTCCACATTATTTCGCCTAATAAACAATACTTTGCTGTTAATTGCTAATGCTATTATGCGATTGTGATTTCAATTAGATTCGTCATTTCTTTTTGCACCTTGCTTCTCTTAATCAAAGCATTTCCTTTCCAAATGAAAGTATTACAGTTGCCAGTGGGCTTAGGTGCTAGCAGCTGTGAAAATACTGAATTAATTGCTCTTTTTCCATTCTATAATTAGTTTCTGTTCAGTTAAACTAGGAAATAATTTAATTTTAGTAGTGACACTTTCACATGCCTGCTACAGTTTTGAAACCTTTGGTACTTAGTGACAGATTACTCGAAAATACTAGCCAGGCTGGCGCTACCTAGTGCCTCAATTTCATTTTTCTCCAGCGACTAGGCTAGGAATTAGAATACATCAGACAGTTTGCAAGAACCATGGAAGTTATAGACTGCACACCAGACAATCAGCGAAGAGCTGTGAAGCCATGACGTCAAACTCAAGTGTCTGTCTGGGTCCCTTTTGTGGTACAGCACAACAGTAAACAAAGCGGTCGAGATGGATGTAGATGAACCCATACATTCTGTGTTGGCAATGATTCCCGAGATCGAGGATTTAAAGCCGGAACAAACTCATAACACATTTTGTACTATGGAACCCTCCATGCCAATCACAGGCAGGTGCTTCCATATAATTCTAATCCAACAAAATTATTTCATTAGCATATAGGCAATATCATTCATTGTAATTTGTTCACAAATAATGATACTCAGCTAAAGCAGCCCATGGTGATGATGGCCCTCACCCTGGCACGCACTCTCCCCTCAAATGACTGCCCAGCATAATATTGTCCCTTCCCAACAGCTGTCCAGGCCCATAGATCCTCCATCAGAAAAATGACACAGTGCACCTTGAAATGTTTTTTTTTTTCCACTCCTGCTGGTCAATGTCACATGTCCATAATACAATTTTTCTTTTGCTTGCAGTCATTCATAGAATTGAATTCCCGAATTTGGTACACATTCGATAATGTTGACATTTCATGTCTATGGTAGGGGGCGCTACAGTGTACAAATGTCATACGCTTAAAACTATATCATATTCAGGCCAAGATTATGCATTAGTGATTTCAGCACAATCAAACTAAGCATGTCAAGTGTAAGACTTTTATTGGGGGGAGATTTTGCTCTCCTGCTGGCCAACAGCTAAAAATGCCCCATGTCCATAATATATTTTTATGCTTGTAGTCACACATAGAATGTAATCCCGAAATTTATTACAAATTCGATGTTATTTCAGACCTAGAAGCATATTACAACGTATTGTAGAAGACAGCTAAAGAAGCTATTGCACTTTCATCAAAACCCTTAAAAATTTCCAGTAGTGCTACTTCCTTTTATAGTCATACTTCCCTAACTCCACTACTGATATTGTGCATGACATTTAGTTTAGTCCCCTTTTTGGTATTTGTTTGGAGAGTTTTTGTTTGCACCATTCTTTCTGACAGTAGAGAGCCTTGAGACCAAAGCCCCTCCACAGCGCAGTGAGAGGGGCTGCAGTGATGTGTGCGTCACAGTGCAGTCTGGCAGGTGTCTTGTCAGCTCTCCACTCTTCAGACAACTGTGTGTTGACAGGAAGCACAGCCTGAGGAGGTGGTCTACGCAAGAGAGGAATGAGAATGGTATACAGCTTGCATATGATATTCTATAGGAGCCGGTATCACAGACATAGCCACTGATTTTATGCAACTGTGTAAAAGTTTAATTTTAGGGAGGACAAGGAAAAGAAAATAATAGAGGCTGCAACGTAGTCAACAACAATAGCGCAAGCAAAAATCAAAGAAAAGTAAAGATTATCAAGTCATCTATGCAAGTGTGCAGACCGCCACCAAGGCATTGAATATATTTTGCAATTGACATTTAAATGGTACCAACTGAGCAATTCAATTTTCATTAAAAACACGACAGATGAATCAACTGGACCACCAACACCACCGAGCACCAGAGAAAATATTAACTCTTTGAAAGATATTAAGTAAATGATAATATAAAAAGAATCATCACTACTAGATGTACCCTTAAAATGTCATATACAAAAATACCAAATGTGTGAATACTTTGCCTTTCTGTGGCTTTAATCAAATTTTAAACATGCATTTGGTCACCTTGGGATAACTTAAATAATGTCTCCATCATGGATTTATAATAAAAACTGGATAAGGCATTCCCCCCTCTGTCCCGGTTTGAGACCAACTAGTGGCAGCTCCAGGTACTGCAGCTCACGGGAGCTTGGGCCCAGGAAGAATTCTCTCATATACATGCATTTTTTGTGAATTCAAACTGTCCGTGTTTGGCTGACAGGGCATCCACAACTTACACAAAGGTTGGATTTTGTAGAGATTATTTTCTATTTTTACAACATAAACTTTTTAAAATGTTTAAGTCCTCAAAGCGCCCAAAAGTTAGCTTTGTAAGAGTTAGTCTAGCCCTGTTCTGAACTCTTAGCTCTTGCTTTGATTGGTCCAAAAGCTCCACGCTGTGGAGCCCATGCACCAATGAGCTCTGGTCATTGAAAACAATATGGCGTCATTTTGGATTCATCTTCCAAATTTTATTATAGTTCTGTGGTCTACATTTGGAAAAACAAACTTAGTGAACTTCTTCTCTGTTTTCAATGAGGCGTATAGGTATTGGAGCTCCCTCTGCTATCAGCAAAGGGAATTAACAATGGCAACATAAACAAATGTCCTTAGACCCCATGAATGTATTCTGAACAAAGTTTGACCACAGAACCAGTCCACAGATGATTTATAGAATTAAAAACTGTGCAGGTTAAGTCTATATCTTTACTTGTGATTTTTATATGTGAGGCAACACTAACTTTTGAGTGCTCAGAGAAGACAACTTTAGATTAATGGACCAATTAAAACAAGCAAGAATATAGCTCCAAAATGTCAATTTGTGTCCTTTAAGACTAGAATCAAAATTCCTCCAAACAAAGCAACGTGTCATTTCATCGTTAATAAGAATATTAAGTAAAAGAAAGTTCAGAAAAGTCTAAGATGGAGAAACTAGGGAAATTACACAAGGCCATGTTGTAAAATCATAAATCTCCACTGCCCAGGCTAACATATGATTCATTACCTGAGTTAATTAAGATCTGATGAATTCTCTTTTGATATTAACTTTGGCAAGGGGCTGTATTATCAGGATAGATTTTTCATCAAATACCAAGTGTTTGGAGAATTGCCTCAGAAGCGCTGGGCACTGAGACAAGGCCTTGCAGAAAAGGAGCCGTACATTTTGTCTTCTTATAAATGTTGTGTGTGTTACCAGACAAACCCAGATGAGCTCATTTATCTTGTCATGGATGGATGTATCCCGAGTCAGCACATTCTCTGCCTAAATTACCTCTCTAGGGTATTAGACTAAGTATTGTTCACTTTTAAATAAAATGTCCATGGAAATGTATAGTCAGAGATGGGATGTTGGGGAGTAGCATAAAAGTGAAAATGTATGAGACATCAGATTGGGTACTGGATGGCTTTTCTGGCTTTGGGCTTGCAGTAAAAAGAGATATTATTTAGATTTGGTTTCTGAGCTTATGGTGTAGAAAGTACTTTTTATTTATGTTTTATATTATGTTGGTGTCAAGGCTGCAAGAGAGCAAACTAAAGACTATTTTTGCATATGAATAGACAACAAGCTTGGGGAGTAAACACAAAACAGACAAACACATACAAACTGCACTGGCATAGAGGTGTTTCTGTAATGTATTTTACTGAAGATTCACAGTGCCCTTTGTAATGTCCTAATGTGATGTGTTATCATTTGTGCCAATATTAATCATGGGTACTTTTGTACTTTCTGTTCTATTTATGAACTTCTGCAACTCATTATAGATACAAACTGACTACTTAAGTGTAATTTGTACATTTACTTTACTTTAATAGAATACATTTTGGGGGATAATTCTGCTTCGTTATTGTCTATATTTACTTCAGCAACATATCACACTTCAACATTTGTTATTGTGACAAGCCTACCCTCAATCTATAAACAACATCTTCCAAAAACTTTATCAACGCTCTACTGACCATGTTCATATTGTAGTGGCATTGTGGGTAGGTAGGACCAAGATGTCATTTTGCAAGTCTCAAGTAAGTCTCAAGTTTTTGACCTCAAGTCCCAAGTCAGATACAGGCAAGTCCCAGTCGAGTCTCGAGTCACTCACCCATAAGTCCAAGTCATTTCAAGTCTTTAAACCAAAGTACCAAATATAGCTTTGTTTTTTGCAATTGAATTGCAATGAATTTTAAGATAAATTGTCCTTAAAAAGTCATAGTATATTTATATTTGAGTAAGAGATCTTAGAGTGAATCATTACAGTCAGAAGAGAAAGAATTCAGATTTAAAAGTGCTTCTCAAGTCTTCACAAGTCACAGGCCTCAAGTCCGAGACAAGTCCCAAGTCACTGACCTTCAAGTCCAAGTCGAGTCCCAAGTCTTAGCCCATTTTATCGAGTCAAGTCTCAAGTCCTAAAAATAGTGACTCAAGTCTGACTCGAGTCCAAGTCACGACTTGCAAGTCCCCACCTCTGTGGGTAACTTCCAGTACATTACTAAGGTTGGGCAAAATGAAAATAGTCACATAAAACCACAATCTGTTTTTGGTGATTATTGATTCCATGCTTTGTTTTAATGCAGCAACATGCTCAAGTACAAACAGACCTCCATTTAGTCATTTTCTGTATTCTAAGTGGAGTGCACCAATCACAGTGAAGTGTGAACTATCAGAGGAAGTAATAGTTAAGCATTTAGTTCATTTTAAAGACAACCTTTAGAAGTGTCCCTAAATCGTGATCAAACCATAACTGTGACTGCAAAGGAAATCATGATGTGCAGCTTTTGTTCACTCTCCCACATCCCCCCTGCGTCTGATGTTAGAGTGTGTGTTACCTGCAGTGGTGAGGCAGAGCTCCTCGTCACTGTTGTCCTGACAGTTGTCCTGACCGTTACACAGGAAGCTGCGGTCCACACAGCGGCCATTGCGGCATTTGAAGCGCGCTTCGGTGCACACCAGAGGGTTTCCTGCTGTGGGGCAAAAACACAAGGTCCTAACAAGTTCTGTTTGAAAGCGTATTCTGATGAAATATGAACACTATGCTATTTATTTGCTATCTTTGTTAACCAATAACTGAACAATTCACGGAAAATGGTTTTGTTTAGTTTGGATTAATATTTTTACTACACAAACCAAACATTCCAAAAGTACTCAAGGTTCAAGGTCCTGTATTACACAAAACTGATTCTTGTGAGCTTTAAGCCATGTTATAATGTTGTTGCCTCCACAGAAACAAAAACTCCTTATTATTAGTCTTTCTACATCTCCAAAGCTCAAAATGCTTATTTATATATTAATTTATTTATTTAGCAGGGACTATGCAATCAGACATAGTTATACAACAAAGCTGCAGCTAATCAGATGTACACACTATAGCAAATGCCAATTTTCAATTCCCATCCTTGGTTGACCTTTTCTACATGAAAAAGCATAATACCAGACAGATCCGTCCACATACGTGCTCTGTTCCACCGTATGATGTTATATAGAGATAGTCTTCAAGCTGACAGCTACTTTTACCTTTTGTTCAGTAGAGACCGGCAATTCCAGGGATGAAATAATCCAAATGACTCTAGTGAAAGTGTATGGGAACTCTTCTTATATTACCATATGACATCACAAGGTGGAATGGAGTGTTTTCAGTTTGAGAGAAGAACTCTAATAACTCTAAATATGCAGAATTTGTGTGTTAAACATGCATTAAATGAAAACTCTTTTAAGGCCCTTTAACCTTATCCTATACTTATGATATGAACATACGTTTTACCAAGATTCCAATAATTGAATACCTGAACTTTGTATTTGCTAAAGCATTGATGGAAATTCTCTAGAGAGACACCCTGGGTCATTATACAGTCCTGTGGGCGTACAGTTAAGCCTCCTTCAAAATGGACAGATTAGATTTGTGAACACAGGGCCCTGAAGGGGAGGGGCAGAGCGTTTGACAGAGAAAAGTGATTGGCTCAAAGCTACGGGCTGAACAAGGACAAGGTAACACCAGGACAAGCTACCACACATTATGAAGTACACCTACAGTCTACCTTTTGTACACAGTGAAGTGCTGTGATATTAGAGTTTACTGCAGGGAAAGCCACAACAACACAAGTATAAGCTATCACACTGACCTAATCACTTAAGAGGCAGCCTTCACATATACACTTTTTTTTTTCTTAAACTCATTCAAACTTTAAACACAAACTTTTTTTGCTAGTGATATAAGTCAAGATGTATAAGACTGTTATAATTTTATTGTTTTTGACTACAAAGGAGTAAGAAAAATGTCCTTTGTGATTAGGGCAGATGAGTATTTTCATTTGACCGTGCATGGCTTAGATATAAGACAAGTATCTACATAATAATATCTAAATAAACTATAATTTACTTTGAGAACAAGCATCTTTACATAATCGCTATAAACAATAATGTCCAATGATATTTGTCCCTTGTTACCAGTTTGGCTACTTTTTTTTTTTTTTGCACTGGATGCCCTAACTGTGACAACAAACCATGTAGCTGTAACTGAAGTGTACAATGGGAGTGAAATTTAGGACCTTTTAAAAGATTTGCTTGGGTCAGAATCAAACCAGCAACTCACCACACCCAGGTAGGTCAATAATTACTTCATCAACTTACTGTTCACTGAGTTTTTAAATGATACTGCATGATCTTGCATTTTTGTTACTGTGTCAGTGATATAAAGTAGATTCAATATTATTGTCATGGTTCATGTTCTGTAGTTGTTGTTTTTGCTCATTTTGGTGTATCTTTTCCTGTCGTGTTGTGTGCCCTTGGTGCTTTATTATGACATTTGCCCTGTCTGCTTGTAGTTTGAGTTTTACTTCCTGTCTGTTGATTGCTTGCCCTGCCCTGATGTGTTTTACCTGTGTCTGTGTGCATTTAAACCCTGTGTTCTCCTCTGCCCTTTGTTGGTCCATTGTCACTGCCAGAGTCTCATCTTGTCTCATGTCATGGCAGTTTAGTTTCGAGTTTTGGATTTTTTGGATTTATGGATTTGTTATTAAATACTTTAAAGCAGTCCTGCATTTTGGATATTCCCTCTGTTTCTACATGACAATTATATCATATTACCGGTATACAATTTATCGCAGTATATTCAAAATTCTGATAGGCCTTCACCCAGGCTGCCCACACATCTTCTACAAAACATAAAGTAAATAAACTACATACATGGCTGTGCATACTTACTTACAGACAATATTAGAACAAGGGCATTTTTTTTTATCCCAGGAACAGCCAATAAACACATAGACTACTCTAGACTGGAGTATTGCACAGAGCTGTGAGTAGGAGATGAATGCCTGCAGTGTAAACAGTGACCCCGGTGGGACAGTACATTACAGAGCAGCCCCTGGCCTCTTGTGACCGCCGCACACAGATACAGGACATCATGTCAGAGACTTACTGCAGTTCTCCTCATCGCTGCCGTCCGGACAGTCGCTGAAGCCGTTACAGCGGAAACGTCCGATGATGCAGTGTCCGCCCGTAGAGCAAGCGAAGAAAGTGGGGGCGCATTTGGGCTTGACCTTGGCTGTGGAGAGATGAGAGAGAAAGAAAGTATAATGGGTTAGACCACAGACGACGCCAGCACTTTTCGTTGCAATATGTCACGTTTTATGATAGAATTATCCTTGAGATGCATCAAAGACAGGAATCTTTTGTCAATAAGGACGCAGTGTTTTGGAGCATAGCAGCGCGTAAGAGGCATGGAGGTAGTTTTTGATGGCACGCTTTGTCCTTGATTCAAAGACTCTTTTATGCTCAGTTTTATGCAGCAATTACTTTCAAACATTTTCTTAGATTTTACAGAGACATAAAATGGTCCTTTGTGAGGAGAAATTAAAATAAAGCAAAACTATGATTAAATTGTCTTCTTTGTAAACGTTTTCTTTTATATTATTGCAATACCAATAAATCACTGTAAACATGTGATTTCGATTTACAATTTGTGCAATTTTGTTCTTTTCAAGCAGTAAATGCTGATAAATGCTTCTCTATATCACTTCAAGATGGGCCTCTGGTGTCCTTATGGTTTTGGAGACTCCACCAAGGCTATGGCTTTAGATTACATATTAAAGGAGGGGGGCCGGTCACCTAGCCAGGCTGGCGCCACCTAGTGCCTCCACTCAATTTCATTTCTCTCCAGCAACTAGGTCAGGAATTGGAATACACTAAATGGTTTGCAAGAACCCTGGAAGTGCGAGTTCGGGCACGAGCCAATCAGTGAAGAGCCATACATTCTGTGTTGGCAACGATTCCCACGATCGAGCATTTAAAGCGGGAATAAAGAGAATGTTTCATGAATTTTATCAAGGGGAAAGACGTTATTGCCCTTCTTCCTAAGGGATTTAGGAAAAGCTTAATATACCAGTTAGCCCTGTTAGCGACGCATTACATACGTCACAACCAAATAGCAGCAACTGGTTAAATTTTTAAAAAGTACCCGCCTACTGTCGAGCAAACAAATTCTAATGCTGTAAAGTCAGACAGTCTGCCACTTTGTGGAAACCAGCTGATGAATCAGGCTATCCTCCACCTGCGTGTCTCCATGAAAATGTTGTTGATTTGTCTAGAACAGACCTGGGCATTGTACAGCTCCCAGGCCACATACGGCCCTTTGGTTGACTCTGACTGGCCCCTTTAAGATAACTTGGAATTACAAAATAAACATGTGTTATAATTTTATCTCATGCATGGATTAAAGCTGCATTGCTTTTATTTTAGAGGTGTTTTTTTAAAATGACATTTTTTGTAAGGCAACCTCACTTTTTACATAAACTCTTACCAGCTTGTCAGAACAATACTGTTTACTGTTTTTTATACAGAAATACAATTAATATTATGCAGAATTGAGTTAAGCATTTTTGCCCGGCCCTCCACAATATTTTTTGTTTCTCATGTGGCCCCATGGGAAAAATAATTGCCCACGCCTGGTCTAGAATGTTCCACAGTATAGATTAAGCCTATCTATAACAAGACAATCTGGTTACAGCATTATGTTATTTATATTACAGTTCAGATCTGTGGAGAGTGACCCCTATTCATAGAAGGAATTATTGTGTTTTTGAGCAACAGAAACACCCGTAATGAATAAATGCTAGATGAAAATGTTTAATAAATATTGTACCATGGACCATTCCAGGAAAAGCAATAACAACCATCTCCCTGGAAACTAATTTATGGCATAGTATGACAGTATGGCATAGTAATAAGACATGATCACAGGTAATTTGAGTACTCCAAAAAGTACAAAATAGGAAAAAAAATAAGTGGACAATATTTCCTCCTCATGGTCAGAAAATATTAAAATACAGTACCTTTTAGTAATCTTGTTTCGAAAATGTGTGTATCTCGCAAAGTACAAAGCAAGAAAAAGATAAGTGGACAATATTTCCTCATTATGGTAAAAAAAAAAAAAAAGTCAAAATACTGTATCTTTTATGAAAATGAATACAAGTTTTGGCTATACAACATTTTCTATTCACTGTGAATTATGTGATTGTAAGGAAACTATCAGCATAGAATTTGTGAATGGTGGTCACTGCGGTGCTCTTTTATCTTGGTTTCAATTTGGACAAAGTCTGTTTTGTGTAATGGCTCTGTTTTGGGAACAAAGCAGCCTGTACGGATAAAAGAATAGACTGCGCTCCTCACTCAGTAGCCTTTGAGCTTGTCCAAACAGTGAAACCACCAATGTATTCTACAAAACATTTAATTATTCAGCCCCTTATGTTCTCCTGGCCTTATCTCGGCTACTACATGAAACAACTAAGATCCCAGACTCCCAGTTGCTGATAGTGAAGAAAACAGGCTAATGACAGAGACAAAGAAGCGTGCTCTTGTATGGATGGAACAATTGATCATGGAGCAGGTTCGCGTGGTCTTATCTCACAGGACAGGCCTCAAAAGGAGTGACTGTGAGGAAGGCTAGGCTGTCCAGTGCAGAAGCCCCAACCCTTTCTCTTCAAAGTAAACCCTGCTTAAAACTCGGATGCATTGATCTTCTCCAGCCGGAGTAGAAAAACAAGATTACAGGTACATGCAAGTGGAGGAAAAAAGGAATGACCCAGGTTTACCCCTCTGCTGTGAAGTTTAAGTTGCCATGCCCGTTGGAGAGACGTTCAAAAGTCCTTGTAGAAGCTGTCTATTTCTAGCTGTTGTAACTATATGTGGTGAAGGAGCTGCTGATGCAAATAGAGAATTTTGTTGCAGGTGATTTGTATTGCTCAGAAATACCTTAAAAACATGCGTTCTTACTGTGAGCGGACTCGACTCTCCACAGACCTGACATGTATCCTGGCCTGGAGGCATCATGTGCTTGTCCCCATGGAAAAAGTCATATAATGAACCTTTAAAGACCTCATATGATGCTATTTATATTCTGATCTATGTTATAATGCTATTTCCTTATTAAAAACAAACCATTCACACATGTTTAACACACAAACTCTGCAAACAGGCTGTTCATCTTTCAAACAGAAAACACTCTGTTCCACCTTGTGACACCACTGTGTTTTTAAAGGAACAGTCCAGAATTTTGGACATAGGACCTCATTTTCTTATTAACCAGAGTATTGGAGACATGTGGAGAAACTTTTTACATATTCCATTCAGTCTTGTATTTGCAGAGGTCGCTGGTGCTAGGCTAGTGCATGTCAATGGCCATAGTTATCCTGCCACTAAAAACAGTCTTACCCACTCCACAAAACACCCAAAGCAAGTCTATTATTACGCCAGACTATTGTTATATATATGTCTGTGTTGACAGAATAATTTTTAAAATAAAACTAACTTTGCATCGCATTAATCATCACACGTTGAGGGATTATTTTCTCAGCAGCAGTTTAATTTTACTTTGCCTTTACGATTGGTGCTAGGTGATATCAGTCCACCGCTGCCAAGCGTTCTATCAGGAAATACAACTCACTGCTGCTGCTCAGACATAAATGCTTCAAATGCAAGGTTGGTTTTACTTCTAAAATTATTCTTTTGACACAGACGTTCACATCAACAGTCTGGAATGATAAATGTTTTGTTCAGGTGCTTTGTGGAGTGGGTAACACAGTTTTTAGTGACAGACTAACTATGGCCATTGACATGCACTAGCCTAGCACCAGTGACATCTGCAAATACAAGGACTGGATGGACTATTTTAAAAAATGTACCCACATGTCTCCAACACTCTGGTTAACTAGGAAATGAGGTCCTATGCCCGAAATTCTGGGCTGTCCTTTTAAACTGCATACACCTTCACTACAATCATTTGGATAAGTTCAGCCCTGGAGTTCCCAGTCTCTACTGAACTAAAGCGTGACTGAAACAAAACACAACTCCAGGTTTTTGATGTAACAGAACCTTTAAGATAAACCAGCCAGATACAATTTCGTGAAAGGCAAGCTTTGAAAAACTACAGAATATAACACTACATAACACTTCCACAAAGAGGAGTGTGAGCCTGCCCAAGGACTCTGCTTCTGATCACACCAACTGAAAAACAGCTCACATGCCAAGTTGCCAACACACTTGAGTGAGAAAAACGTCATTGCACTTACAATGAAAAACTCACATCTTTCAAACAGCGTGCTTTGACAGTGAATGCTAAATACCACTGGAATGAAGATCGAAATTCACCACGCTCTCTTGAAATCCTAAGCATCCGCAGTATGTATTGTATAATTAGTCACACATTCTTAGCACAAAATCTATTTGCATCATAATGTGTGACGGTTGGTGTCTACTGTCTACTATTCTTAATTATTTGTGCTATATTTGCAATGGTTCAGACCTTGAGACTTTGTTAGGCTCAAAAAGTAGATAGTAGGGATGTAACAATAACTGAAATATCGTGATATCATATCGTCAAAAGTCACAGTAATACTGTGGGCTGTCACAATATATCGAATTACAAGTTCCTTTGCTTAAATGCATTGTTTTATAGTAGCAATAGTTTATAAACTTCAGGAACTACATATCCCATCTCAGTCTGCCATACATCTTCACTTAAAAGCCATGGGCCACTCATTTGAGGACAGCGAGGTACAGATTTTAGCCAGAGAAAAGAATTGGTTTGAGAGGGGAGTGAAAGAAGTCATTTTTGTTAAGAAAGAGAATCCTTCTCTAAACAGAAATGGAGCCCTCAGACACCATGTCTCCTATTTACAACTCCATCCTCAAAAGTAATTCAAAACAAACAAGAAAACAATAGATGTAACCAGGTCAGGTCCAAAGGTGAGGTAGCACCCATTATGGCCATGAATTATTATGCTAATTAGATCCCACACCCAGTACAGGTCAATAGGCCTAACTAACAGAAACTGTAAACAGGTAGGTGTGTTAGTTTCAGAATAGTTAGTTAGCTCCTTCCTGCAGACAGATATAAGGAAGTGTCTACCAGCATTCCAACTTGAAGCTCGAATGAGCTGCGAAACATCTTCAACCAAACTAACTTTTATCCAGTCGACAAACTGAGTTTTCTCCTCACCGTACATATCCCATGGTTCATTTCCGCACAGACAACATGTTTTTACTTCA